TCAGGTGTGGTTGTTGGTTCAGGTATAGTTGTAGTTGGTGGGGTTGTTGTGGTGGTGGATAGAGGTGTGGTTGTTGTTGGTGCAGTTGTAGTTGTAGTTGGTGGGTTAGTCGTGGTGGTGGGTAGAGGTGTGGTTGTTGTTGGCTCAGTTGTAGTTGTAGTTGCTAAGGTCGTTGTAGTGGTGGTGGATTCAGGTTTTGTTGTTAGTTCAGGTTTAGTTGTAGTTGGTGGGGTTGTTGTAGTGGTGGTGGATAGAGGTGTGGTTGTTGTTGGTGCAGTTGTAGTTGTAGTTGGTGGGTTAGACGTGGTGGGTAGAGATGTGGTTGTTGTTGGCTCAGTTGTAGTTGTAGTTGGTGGTGTCGTTGTAGTGGTGGTTGATTCAGGTGTGGTTGTTGGTTCAGGTGTAGTTGTAGTTTGTGGGGTCGTTGTAGTGGTGGTGGATTCAGTTGTGGTTGTTGTTTCTAGTGTAGTTGTTGTTGGTGGGTTAGACGTGGTGGGTAGAGGTGTGGTTGTCGTTGGCTCAGTTGTAGTTGGTGAGGTCTTTGTAGTGGTGGTGGATTCAGGTGTGGTTGTTTGTTCAGTTGTAGTTGGTGGGTTAGATGTTGTGGTGGGTAGAGGTGTGGTTGTTGTTGGCACAGTTGTAGTTGTAGTTGGTGGGGTCGTTGTAGTGGTGGTGGATTCAAGCGTGGTTGTTGGGTCAGGTGTAGTTGTAGTTGGTGGGGTTGTTGTAGTGGTGGTGGATAGAGGCATGGTTGTTGTTGGTGCAGTTGTAGTTGTAGTTGGTGGGTTAGTCGTGGTAGTCAGAGGTGTGGTTGTTGTTGGTGCGCTTGTAGTTGTAGTTGGTGGGTTTGTCGTGGTGGTCAGAGGTGTGGTTGTTGTTGGTTCAGTTGTAGCTGTAGGTGGTGGGGTTGTTGTGGTGGACAGAGATGTGGTTGTTGTTGATTCAGTTGTAGTTGGTGGATTAGTTGTTGTGGTGGGTAGAGGTGTGGTTGTTGTTGGTTCAATTGTAGTTGTAGTTGGTGGGGTCGTTGTAGTGGTGGTGGATAGAGGTGTGGTTGTTGTTGATTCAGTTGTAGTTGGTGTGTTAGTTGTTGTTGTAGGTATTGTAGTAGTGGTTGTTGGGGACATTGTTGATGAAGTGGTGGATTCAGGGGTGGATTCAGTTGTAGTTATGGTAGGTGGGAGAATTGTAGAGGTAGAGACAGGAGTGGTTGTTGTTGGTAGAGTTGTAGTTGATGGAGAAGGTGTTGTTGTAATGGGGGCAGTTGTGGCTGTGGTCGGTGGTGTAGCTGTTGTGGTGGTGGATTCAGGTGTAGTTGGTTCCATTGTGCTTTCTGTTGCAGACTCATTTGTCTGTTGAGATATTGTCCTGAATTGGAAGAAAAACAGATCATCTGTGATTTTTCATGTTTTTACATTGTATTGCATTGTGGCCGTTTGAATGTCTGGAGACAGAGCATGATTATCTAGAATTTTTAACAATAATCAAACTATAATGTAAAACAAAGTAGCAACATACATCAATATGCAAACATTGTTTGCTTTGTATATACAAAATACTCCCCATATGATTACTTTTGAACAGTGTAGTAAAGATCTTGAATTGTATTTTCAATTGTGAATTTTCACAGTATAAGATATAAATGAGAGGAGGTAATGTTCTAAGTTGTAGCACACTATACATTGTCTCGTTAGTATGGATTGTCTATGCCCTCTTCATCTCTTGAACTTAGATGTGACATGTGAAACACAATGTTGTCCCAAGGCATTGTGCCTTACTAGAATAGATGCTGACCAAATCACACCACACAGAGGAATCTCAGGAACAAAGCTGTTGACTTACGTTGTGTTTGCACCCTCAGTCCCAGTGATCTGCCAGCAGACACAGGCTGCAGGAAAGAAGATAAAGGACAAATACAGAGTACCTGACAGGCAAGAGTTTCATTACCTTCTACAACAATATTACAGCCCTACAATAATTGTTGATGTCAAAGGGTTGATATCTCCTGTACATAATGAGGATCATTTCTGTGTTTACAAGACTAGAGGAGTGCCTTTCAAAACCAAGAATATTGAGAGTGATATACATATAGTCAAAAAATGGGTACATACCAACTAGGAGAAACAGGCCTGTTGCTTCCCTTGGTTTCATTCTCCAACTTCTTGCAGAAGGTGCTCACCTTCTGATTGGAAACAAGGAGAGAATGTGGGGTCAGCATGCACTTACCTGGACATTGCACACATGGACACTTTCCTGAGGTTAAGCAAATTCACTCAAGTGCTCTTCATTATACGCTCATCTGAGTATGAACAGAGTGGGCAGTAGAGTTGAGTTTATTCATTGAGGGGATGAAGGACTACAAACACGGGGAAAAGAAAACACCTGCAAGGCTAAAACCCTGAGAATATTACCCAAAATACTGTTTTCAAAGGCGCTTTGCATTTCTTTTTCCTTGCATGTCGGGATGATTTTATTCTGGTGATATTTCCCCTCATGCATTTTCTCAGTAACATTCAGCTAGGTTTTGACTGCCCCCTGTTGATGTCTCTTCCCTGTCATTGTTTTTCTGGCTAAGTGACTTGACAGACCAGGCACTTGTTCGTCAGTAACACTCCTAGCCCTGAGTTTGATCTATCTGTCACTGGTATAGAGCAGGTCAGGAAGCCTCACAATTTAAGTGGAACATTACACCTGCACAATATTACAAAATAGGTGTTCAACGAAATGAGAAAAGAAATAATTGCCAAATAATGCATTTAAGAAATGAACAACTGGAGATGGGGTTGGATGTTTCCACACACTGAGCTGGAAATAATTGTGACAATGTCTGAACAAAGAGTTCAAATAAGACTTTTTGGATCGTGAGGCCATGAGAGACTCAAGCACATCTTTGATCTTGGAGGGAGACTACATGACACACTCACTCTAAAAAAGCTTTAGTGTTGGAAATAATTTGAATGAATTCCCATACGCATTCAGGCATTGATTGATCTCCGCTGTACTGAATTACATAAATACAAAAAAGTACAAGTAATCATGAAAGCTCATTATGCTGCATTTGGACATAAAGATACCAGAGCTACAAAGCTACTGACAAGGTATACAAACATTAGCTATGATATCATAGAAACAATACAGAAGAAAAAAAGTTAAATAGTTGTCAACTGAATAAACTCCACTCTCTTGAAATGTATTAATGCAATGAGGAGGGTGTGTTGTTCAGACAGCTTGTGAACAGACACAAATACAACAATTTGTTCAGTATTTAGGAAATCCCAGTATTTTTGCCTATTGTTTTATGATTGAATTGTGTTAGACCCACACTGAAAGTATGGTATCACACATTTTCAGAAACGCAGTAACATTAAAATTATTTATGACATTGAACCTTGATTATTTTTCTCTAACGAGTTTCTTATTTTCTTGAGGTCCTAATCATGTTGCACAAATATGTCAAGCTTATATACAGCATTAATAAGCCTGTTAGTGTATTAAACTCGAAAACAACCGTGACTGTAATCTTGAGTCAAGAGGCTTCAATACTGAACAGAATAGCTTCTTACAATTGCTTCAGGTTTAGCACCAGTAAATATTTTTAATTGCTGACATTACCATACGGTGAGCCATTCAACCGGAAATCAAGCGCAATTTATGTCTTAACTGTGTCTGATCAATAAACAATTATAGGCATCAATTAGGAAGATGCATAACTCTGCTATGATATTACAATGATGAAAACATAAAATACGCCTATTGAAATATTAATAAGGATATAGCAAAATATTGTGCAGCTCCTGCAGTGTCTCGTTACGTATCAGTTTACTCTGTAAGCTTTTAAGGTAAAGTAATAGCTATACCAGTGATAAGTAGTTCCCTAGAAAACAGTGGACACAGAAACGTTCAACTACTGTATATACAGTACGATAACGCAAATCGTTTAACTTAATAGCGCAGAAAGCATTTAAGTAGATCTAAAACTTCCACCGTATGTTCATTATACAGTACATTATTCAGCGCCAGTAAACCGCTGCGCATTTCGGGAAGCGTTTAGGATTGAGCTGGAAAAAGACGAGGCCAAGCCAGTAAAGGCTGATGAAATTTGGAGATAGGTCACCTTACCCTATTTGTAGGAAACAGTAATGACGGTAACACGGAGTAAAGAAAGTATCACGTTTTACGCCCGACTTAGGGTCAGAAGGTGCACGGAGAACTGTGTGTTCAGCCGTTAAGTTTTTACCGCCTGCGTGGTTACCCTGCGCCAGAACCGCGCGCCTGGTCTAATGGTAATGGTACACAGTTATTAAAACTGGACTGAATTCTGAGCCGGAATTACATCCATAGAGTCCGACAAAGTGAATATCTGAATGCAAATAAACAAACTTGCGATATAATCAATCTTTTTTTAAATCTGAATGTTGTCTTCATCAGTTAAACGAAATACTAGGAATGCTAAATACTGTATGCTTGTCACAGTTGTGGTGAAAAATAGATGTTTTGCTCATGTCTTTGACAAACAGTATACTCAGTTCAGTGGGCCTTACAGTAGTCCTTAATGAAACATACAATACTGTACCTTTTCAGCTCAATAAAATCGTTTGGTCATCAAAACACTAATGAGAGTACGCCGTTCTGTCCAACGTGCTCATTTTGTTGTTTGTTGTTCTGAGAGCTATAGTATTAGCGTTGTCATTAGAGTAAAGGGAAATTGGCCTGAATTGTTGATACTGCTAGTAAAATATTGGACAGTTGCATTATAATGCAGTTTTAAAGAAAGCTGAACTTCACATTTGACGACTCTTCCCACCTTCTTCATTCCCATTTTCAACCACTACCTTCTGAGAGGCGTACAGTATGCCTTTGACCAAGAAAATTAGATACAAGAAAACCTTCTCCCCTAATGTTGTCCCCTAATATTGAACGCAATAAAGTTTTTTAAAAGACTTTTCACTGCATGGAGCTACAATCAGATTAGTGTAATGGTAGCTTGATATGGACAGAAAGATCTGTGTAAACTGTGCGTTCTGTTGCATGTCTATGACCGTTGTTTGCTTTTACTCATGTGTATTGTACTGTATGTCGAGTGTTTTTTGTTTGTAGTTACAGTATGTATGGTGATACCAAAAAAAAAAACACATTTTCACCGTTTTGGATGGATAATAAAGTTATATCTTATCTTATTACCACCACCTTACAGAACGAAATCTTAAAAACTCCTGAGAGAAGAGGGGCAATTTAGGACAGCCGATCAACCCTGCCCTGCATGTGCTTACTGTTTACTGTGTGGGAGCACAGAGGAGCTCCCGGGAGAACGACCTAAAATACAGGGAGAACATGCGAAGCCCACAGGACGGTCAGCCTGAGCTAGAATCAAACACAGGACCTTGGAGCCATGAGCTCTGCTTCAAGCACCTTATCATTGACAGCGTCTTTCCAATCGCATTTGTTTTCCACTATCAGAGGGTCCTCCATTCTTACTTTCCGCTTTCGAAGTTAAAATAAATGTAAGAAAAAGCTACCAGATTCCTTAGATTTGGGGGTTCTCGATTTCCTGTTGTATTATCTCGTTCGTGAACTATCGAAAAATGCGAAGATCCAAGGAATGAAACTACTTTTTTTTTTAATGTGCGTGATGTTTGTCCTCTCTTGTCTGCTTTCTGAAAGTCTTACGTGGGCTCTAACAAGTTCAACTAGTTAGGCTGCTGCCAAGTCTAGGCAGATTACTGTATGAATCAACCGCGAGTTGCCAAAAAAAAAGAGTACCTTCTATGAAAAGCTGAAAAAAGGCAACAAAGCATACTGTAGGTGAGGCGTTTAAAAGGTGTGAGTCGGCGGGAGCTTGCGAATTACACCATCCGGCGAATATCCCGTGAGCTCCTGGCTCTGCTAGCGGTTTGCAGAGTGGCTGTCACTCGGCGTACAGTGTGAATGTTTATGGGGCTCACAGCCCACAGTGTTATCGGCTATCCCTGTTGCTTTTATATCGATACCTTAAGAACAGGTAACGCGAATTCTTGCGCCCATCTCCCCTGTATGAGGGGTGACACCTCTTTATACAGCAATGAACTTCTGCTGGCTGTGGCGAAGCAGGAGTCGCCGTGTAATGAACATAGGAAATGTACAGTAAGTACTGGATTGTAACTATCCCAAGCTAATGTACGGTTTCTATCCCTGAGCAACAGCACCCTGGCTAGTAATAATAGCCCGTCTTTATCAAAGCTAGTTAGGCTTCTGCCAAGTCTGAACAGAAAAGCAAGCACTTCGTGGAGGACAGTCAGGCTGCAATTTTCTGAATTCGATTTTAAAAAGTGTGTTCAGAATGTTCTGAAAAAAAAAACGCTATTTACTAATAAAAACAATTATCTGAACCTCAGTAAACGCCCAAAAGGCGATGCCAAGAAGCAATAACAAACACAGGGGTACCGACGGCACAGTCTGTCAGACGTTTTTCAGCCAAGGCAAATCACCGGTATCACTGCTTTGCTTGTTGTTTCATGTTTTACAGAAATTTGCTGATTTTCTATACCTTTTGGTGTTTTACACCTTTTTTAGATTGTGGCTGTCAGCGTAACACGACTGAAATCCCATCGATTAAAAAGAGTTCTCCTTAAACTAGAAACTCGGAACTAGAAACAAAAAATCTCTCACAGTCATTTCATTAATGCTTTTTAATTCCTTCTTATATGCACCATCTGTAACGTCTGAAACTTGCAACTGTACTGTCCCTGTAAAAGGGAAAAAGCGCCTTTCAGCTCAGCACTGCGGCAAAGCCGTGAGAATAAGAGTCAAACATTTTATAAAGAACAACGCTCACAGATACACAAGTGAATTCAACTGAATATACACAGACAATTATGAGACTAGAACACACAAGTTACAAATACATATTCTTTAGTGTCGAACCAGGAATACTGCGAGGGGACCCGATCCAAGTAATTAAAATCTGACAATGTCAAACCATCTGATTCCTAGAAAATCATCAGTGCAACACAAATCGGAGGACTTAAGTGGACACTTTGTGGAAGCGAATTTAAGATTGACAACAGGAGGAATTTCTTTACACAAAGGGTTGTGGGAGTGTGGAACAGCCCTGAAATTGAAGCAGATACCCTGGTTTACTTCAAGAAACAGTTAATTCGATCAATTAGTTACAAATTGAAAGCGAGTTAGCATCACGACTGTAGCGCTGTTATTCTTTGGCTCATTATCTTGTTTCGTTATCTACAGTACATGCTTCTGATTCCAATATAATCTTAAAAAAATAAGCACACATCTCGGGGATTAACTAACCAAATACATGAATATTAACTAATCCATTAATACCATACTGCTACCATCTCAAAACTTTTAAATATCATCGAGTTAGTCAACGCAACAACTACAAAACACAAAGTTCTGTGGAGTTATTTATTGTGTACAAAATCACGGCAGAAAAAAAGCAAATCAACTTCACAAAAGCAAATCATCTCTTACCTTGTTCTGTCTGTCGTCTTGTTTTGGCACACCTAAAGTGCTGCTGTGAACTGTCTTTCAATACGCTGGATACCTGTTCGTTTGTATCCCTTAACTCGATCAATATCTACACGTCGCACAGATTAACGGACTGAGCTGTTCTGGAAAAGGTCGGGCAGTAGGTGCAATTATAAGTGGAATGGTGACGTCAAACAACGTACGTTGCCATTAGCTGATGGCGTCATTGCATACTGTAATTCCTTACAGTCTACATTGCTAAATATTATAGTGAAAAGCCTGAATTTTAGGAAAAGGTTTTGATGCACACCAAAGTTTGTAGATGAGGCAATAAAACAAACGATTGAAAACCCGAACAGGCGTTTTACTGTTTCTGCTGAAATATATTTTGTTTAACCTTTGAAAATTCCAAATGTATACATGTATATTTATTTATTTTGTTGTTTTCAGACACAAGTTCTGGCGTGCTTAAAAAGAACTGGAGAACAGAAGAGATGCATTCGCATGAGCAATCAGGGGGTTATTCTGTACATTTTAATTATATCTCGGAATGGCTACATTAATTACTATTTATTTAATCTTTTTAACTATTATAATTATTATACAGTAGATTATGTTATTAAAGCCTAAACACCATCCCTCACCTGGTGACACTTCTGGAAAAGAGGTAGGCTTATGGATTTTCTTGCCCTTTAAACTTCTAAATCTGTAAATGAGGGAGTTTAGCATTTTGCTGTTAAAGGTACGTTTTAATGCTGCTTGTTTTATAATATAATTAGATGTGTTTTTGAAAACACCTGCTATTTGTATATCCTTGTATCTTTATATAGCCTTGCCCAAGGCGTTTGTGTTTTGTACAGCCAAGACAATGTCAAATTCTTCAAAGAACATACCCGTCATTCAATGTACGGTTCTTTCAGGTTATTGTTGTTTGTGTACTTTTAAATGACATATCCGCCTTACAAGTACATTAGCCATTCTCTCCCTCTGTTAGAATTACAGGTTTAGCTACAGGTGCCCTTTAATATGAATATCTCTGGCTACTCCACACATCACATTCATTCATTGGCCATTTTCTGACCTCTTTATCCAGTCCAGGGTAACAGGGGAAGCTGGACCCTACCGTATGCCGTGAAAGGCGAGATACCAGGATAGATTGGAAAGGACCCCAGTCCATTGCTGTGCCGACAGACAAACACAAGCAGACCGATATTCCAACACACCAAATAACCTACCTGTTGGTTGGAAACCTGAGCACCTGGAGGCAACCTATGCAAACCCAAAAAGAAAAGTACAAACTCCACACAGATAGCTCACCAGGAATTGAGCCCAGGGCCTCAGAGCTGATAGGCAGCAATGCTCATCCTCAATCATCCATCCATTTTCTTACTTCTTTATCCAATACAGGGTTGCGGGGGAGCCGGAGCCTAACCTGGTAAGCAGCAAGTGCATGCATTCAGTACTAATTAAATGCATCAAAATGTTTAGAACAGTGGTGTTCAAATTTGTTCATATCACCATTTGTGGGAGCAGCCTGGTTATTCTTTGAGGTCTCCCATCATGATCCTGCCTTGCTTAGCTTCTGAGATGTGACCTGATAAGAAACACTGCTGAATATACTTGCAACTTTTCAGCTGGGTGACAGAGGACAAAAAATGAGTAGCTGGAATCGTATTTCCACAGGCCAGCTAAGACGAGCTTCTAGAGCAGAAGGGCAAAGGCGTTCAAAGGTTGTGGGTTTGAACCCCACCAGAGTTCTTGCTGTTTTTTACCCAAGAGATTGTGGCAGTATGGATCAAGTAAGAAGATTACAAATGAAAGGAGGCCATTTGGTCCACCTGTCTCATTGGGTAGTTAATAGTTAATTGATCCCGGGATCTAATGACAGAAACCAGGGTAAGCTCCAAGACAATGGCTGGACAGCTAGTCCTTTGCTCCCACCACTCTTTGCGTAAAAAAGTGGCTCCTGTTCTTGGTTTTAAATGCACTTCCTAACAGTTTCTACTTCTGCCCCCTGGTTCATGTTTCACTCTTCCTCCTGAAGAAATCATCCGGTTCGATTTAGTCAGATCACAAGCTGGAATGTTGTTGAAGCCAATGACCTCATTGCCTTTCACGACTGACTCAAAGAATGTGACCACATTTCGGACAGAATCATATTAAGGAAAGGTGTCATTTTTCAAAGAGTCCTGAAAGTCAAGAAGAAGACTTCAGAAGAAGTGATAAGAATAAGTAATCACAAGGGTTTCAACAGAAGCTACAGTATGAACATCAGGGAGAATCTGCCACAACATATTTGCAGTGTCTAAACTGGAATTATAGGAGAAATGAGAGTTGAACATTCCCAATTGCATTCAGTTGTGAATTCAGTGAATTCAACAATTCAGTGTGTTGCTGCTTAACACTGAGCACCAATCCGCAATACATGTAAATCTCTCTAGCAAGTAATATTTTGTCCATATGTATTTTTTACTCAAATGTTTAACACCCAATGGAGATATTAGGAGTATATGTTGTCTTACAGTACACAAAATAAAATACTGTGTACTCAAATATGCAAAGCAAATATGCAGCAGGCCAAGAAAGAATAAATCTTAGATGGGGAGATTATGCTTTATCAGTGGTAGATGATTTCACTGAGAATGTATTTTGGACATTTCTGGCATTCTTCCAGCACTCTAGAAAAAGGGATCGAAACCTATCAATGTCATCTTATATTTATATATATATAATATGCCTAAATTCACCTCCAACGATGGTAAGAAATGCAAAGACCAATTTCATGAGAATGGCTGTGAAAATGGTCTGTGAAACTGTGTTTCAATATGGAAAACATCACAGAAGATGTGCAGTATGTTCCTGTCGCCTCCATGTTGGTGGTGTCAATTCCTCCTGTGACAGAAAGCTCTGTTGGGCACCCTGCCAAGCCCCCTCTGAATGTTCCAGATGCTGTCATCGAGAAGGCTACAACTGTTGACAGAAGTAAATGTTAGCTGGAAATCTGGATAGGTTCACAGATAGGTTAATGTTGGATGGTTGCCCATGCACGCATCAGCCCTACACCAAAATCTGGGTGTCACACTTGATTTGCTCTTGTCTTTTGAGTCCCACATGAAAAATTCCATGAAGACCTCTTTTTCACCTTAGAAATGTTGCCATCATTAGGCCTTTTCTGTCAATGTCCTTTGCTGAGGGCCTCATTCTTACATTTATAATATCAAGGCTTGATCTGTGCAACTCTTTGCCCTATGGGCTCTCAAACAGTCTTCTTGGTAAGGTGCAATACGTTCAAAACTCTGCAGCTAGACTACTGACTCACACCAGACCCTGGCACCACATAGCTCTTACACTTAAGTCTCTACACTGGCTGCCTATAAAGTCACACATTCAATACAAGATCTTAGATCTTGTTACTGTCTTTCAGGGCTCTAAACAGTCTGGCTCCATCATACATCTCTGAACACCTCCATGTTTACACTCCCCACATAGGCTCTGGTCAGTTCAGGCTAGTCCAGTGCTCACTGTACAGAGGACTAAATCTTAAAAGTTTTGCTGATGGTATTTGTGTTGTTGTTGCTTCATTTTTATGAAATGCCCTTACTCTGAGTCTTTGAGACACATTATTTTTCTCTCTTCAAATCTGTACTTTAAACATTTTACTTTGACTAATTACCCTACAGTTTATTCTGTATGTTCTTGTTTATTTTTTTTCTATGAACTCTTCATGGTATTTTATGTCATTTCTTTAGCACAGAATCCTTTGGGTCCGGGAAGGTGGTTTATATGGGGCCCTAGCAGTTGGTCACAGTTGGTACTGACAACCTTTATTGAAACCAGCAGTGTTTGGAATATTGTTACACAATTCATCAGTGAAGCCACTGTGGAGCTTTATGCTATTGCTTTTAAATATGTCTTCTTCCTTTAGCCTTCCTTGCATAACATCACATCAGAGTTTAGACAGTATTAAGCTTGAGACCTTTTGATACGCAATGGACCCTCTGAAATTAAAAGTAATGTGTATATCATGTGTATTTGTGCATTATTTCTTACTCTTTTAAAGCACAACAGGATTAGATATATCCCAATATACAGTATATTCCTCTAAGGACACGTTATCAGAATGTACTGAACGATCAGAACAAGAGACTTACTTTTTCTACTTAGATGAAAAATGACTTCTATACGAAAGATGGTTTTAAACATTTGAACATTGTTTAATGCCCCTCCAAAAAGTACCTTGTATTATTTCATTTTATTCTTCCTCATACCTGCAACTACAGTATGTACCTGTACATTACATGCAAAGGTACTGTAGGTAAAAAAAAGGCACAAAAAATCTGAAGGAGGCATGCCCTCACTATGTGTCTGTCATCTAAACTCCTTTATTTAGTGTAGGTGCAGCTCAAGTTATTTGAGACTGTCCTCCAGGGCCTCATAAACCTGTCTCACCACCAGGGTGGATGTCTCTTGTGACATACAGTATATGTCGGCGCTTGTGGAAAATGTCTGACTGAGTACATCAGGAAGTTTCTCATCCTCTGAGGAGATGACATGGATGTGCACATTAAACTGCAGATAGGAGGCTGTGGGGTTGAGTGTACTGTATGTGCAATAAACCGAGCTCTTACCCTGGCTAGTTTCCACAAGCATCTGGGGGAGATGCCAGGATCAGGTTAGCTCCTAGTCACCCCCTAGTGTTTTGTGAACAGAGGGCTGGCTCATAAGTGGGGGCTGTGTTTTCTTTAGGCAGAAAAAAATGTCCAGAAGCCTTGGTGATCTGTGGCTGCTTTAGCTAGATCACAGTCCACAGAACCACTATAGTTTTGCTTTTTGGTTGCAGTTGTGATTTTAGCTCCTGGCTTTGGGCCAGAGTAATTCGTTAAATTATATATGACACAGTCATGCCACACCTACACCAGTTCTGCCATGTGTGAATTCCGGTCACAAAGCTTTTTTAATTCAAGTTCACCAAAAGCACTAATTGCTCTGCACGTATTAATAACACAAGTCAAACATGTTTTTCACCACTTCTTTTATCAACATTATACTGTAGCATGGATACAATCAGAACTGTCCAACCAAACATCACTCAAGAGCTCTACAACAGTCACAGTAT